CCAGTTTTAAATATCTATACTTGGATCCACCTCCACTATGGAAAAAGCCACATGATTAGACAATTTATGAACACAGGGAATTTTGCTTTTCTTTAACGTCAAAATAACCACTGAAACAGAACTGAGAAAATTCTTTGAAGAGAATCATATACCTTTTCCTATTAGTCTATTGCAATGAAAAGTACACCAAAATATACTATTACACATTCTCACTAGTTTATCTAGACTTACCTGTTTCAAACATTAAGTGACTGCTATACTTTCTATCGTAATTGGTTACTACCTATTTGATCCATATTGTAGAGCACAGCCTTTCTTTTTTTTTTGCTGGAAACAATCATTTAAGGAGAAAAGTCTCTTGCTTTTTATTTTGCTTTTTCAATTTATGTGTTTGCAAATTTCAGTCTTAGTAAAATCACGTAATAAGTCTCACCTGTTTGAAAGCTGAGATTTCTTTAAAAATCCTCATCCCAAGATTAAATGAACTCTTTTGAAGGAAATAATTGATTTAATAAGTTAGTAGGCCCACTAATATCTCTACACATAACAGTGTAGAAAAAGCATCCAAGGACAGAAATAGTTTAATTAATAAAATATAAATTAAAACAATGACCTATTCTATTGACCACTGGATAAAAGGCCAGAAGTCTGCACATATACATGATTTTCTCGATTTCCATTTTCTTCTGCCTAGTTTTTTGGAGGGGGTAGGGAGAATTGAGGAACTCTGGTGTATTGTATAAGCCATGTCCTACAAATTGCCTCTTTAATGCAGTTGCAGATGGTAGGATCCTAACATTCACTCTTAGGCCTTACTCCATGTAGAAGGTGGTCCAGTCCACTAAATATCTGAACTAACCCATTACATGACAAGAAAGCACTGTGTTCCAATCTCATGATTTGTAGGAATTGCTTTTCATATTAGAATGTTGTATCCTGACTTAGAGATTGCAGTTTATTAACCAAGACTGGAGACCATGTCTAACATGCTGCAACATACAGGGGTCAATTAAGTACATGAACTATATGTGATAGTTTTATTATCGGTGACACAGTCAAGGCAAGGAAAATCATGTTGACCTATAGTGTCAGGGCAAAAGAGAATTTCTCCCACCATTGTTCCTGTAGTTACCAGCAAGCAGTCAGAGGGACTCAAAACATTCAACTCTGCCCTCTCAGTCACTGACACTACAACTTTCATGGGGCTTCCAGGCAAAGAAAAAGGGGGAATCACATATTACACAGAAGCATCTTTGCTTCCTGACAGAACTGGCATGAAGGACATAGCAAATGAAGTAAAAAAGAGAGCTGGAACCCATATGTGCACTCAGAAAGGTGACAGGAGGACCAGAAGTAAATAGTGCTTTCAGTGGCTGTGATTTTATACTGTAGGGGACACTGTGGTAGCAGCCAGCAGCCCATCCAAAGCATTCCTAATCCAATCCCTATGATCCTTCTTCATTTATACACTGAAATCCTCAGCAGAGGAGATGCATATTAAGAGGAGAGAGATCTACAAGTACTCTTTGGTCATTCACTCTGGCTAGTAGGCCAATGAAAAGCATACCTTCTATGCCCTATTTCTGTTGCTGCTTCTGTGAATTGCTCCTACACCAGCTCTAGGAACAGGCTTTTCTCCTGGTAAGTGACAGCTTTTGGAATTCTAGCTTAACAACTAACACATATACACATAATGAAGTAATTTTACCAAACAACTTCTTTAATTCATTTGCATAGGATGGATGCTCCAATGGCAAAGCTGCCATTGTGCTGTAATTTAGAGGCTCTGGAAAAAATAATCATATGCAAAGCTATGAGCGATTTACATATGACAAATAGTGTTCAGTAGTGTAGGAAACAAAAGTGTTTTTAAACCTACTTAATTTGTTCTACTTGCTGATTATTTTTCTTCTTCCTTGGAGGTTTTTTCTTCTTGGGCTTATTGGCATTTTGATTGTTCGGTTTGCTGCTTACACCAAAATGTCCTGCAGATATATCACTTTGTAGCAAATTTACCAATAATGGGCTTGTTAGTGTAACATCTTTGTTGACAGGAAAACTTGGATTCTGCCCACAGGAAATCTGATTTCCATTTTGTGATCCACCAAAAGGAGCACTAAAAGACATTCCATGTCCAGCAAAATGGCCCCCCGGTGCATTGCTGTTTCCTTGCATCCCCTGCAAGTGGGGTGGCACCATGTTTCCTTGCTGCATGGAAACATCAGGTAGCATTTGTGTCAAGTTTACATCACTGCCTGTTGTAGTGGTAGTATCACCCAGTTGCTGAGACATGTGAGGATTAGGGCCTGTCGGCCTCAGAACTTGTCCTTGAATCCCCATAACCTGAGAAGGATTGCCATTCCCGGGGCCTTGCTGGGTCATCATCTGCCCTGTGAATTGCACCATGTTTCCTTGCATATTGGGAGTTGGTCCTCTCATTATTTGAGCTGGCCCCGTCATGACATTAGACTGGCTTTGAGCATTAAATTGTTGTTTATTTCCTTGCATCTGATTGGTCATCATCTGCTCCATCATAGAGTTTTGGGGCAACAGCACCTGGCCTTGGGGTCCCATCATCTGATTGTGTGCAGCCATCATTTGCTGTCCTTGCTGGGGAATCATCTGTTTGGGTGGGGTCATCCTTTGTTGCACTGGACCGAGATTTTGGTTTTGAGGTGCTACCATCATCTGGCCCTGTGGCATGAGCTGAGCTCGAGAAAGTATCATCTGGTTTTGCGGATTTAGAGATCCCTGAGGCTGAATGTTCACCATCTGTCCTTGGGAGGACACTACTTGTTGGTGCATCCCCATGAGCTGCGATTGTGGTCCTTGTGGAGGCTGTCCTTGCATGTTGCCCAAATTTACTTGTGGAACGCCACTGGAGCCTATCTGCTGGTTGCTTATATTTCCATGAAGTCCCATTAAATTGGTCTGCATCATATTCGGTGGGCCATGTTGAACTTGCATCTGACTTTGGGAAGGACCATTTCCTTGACCACCTTGAAAATGTATACCATTCAAGTTACAGTAATATTAACTGAATTGCAATCAACATGTAAATTAAAATAACTTTTAAAAAATCAGTGTATTAAATATTCACAATACCACAAAAACTAGGTGCAATACTTATGAAAATATCCTTGGCAGAAGGACTGAAACAGCCATCATTTCTAATAAATTTTAAATGCCAATTACACATGATCAAAATGTGCAAATTTGAGTTGTAATAAACTAGCAAACTGGCATGAAAACTACAAACTACATGGATTTCAACTGCCATAAAAGATTGTTTAGAAATAAAAAGTATTTAGAATTTTTTACTTAAAGTTTTGAAAATAGTTCTTGGACAAAATATCCTATATAAAAGGGGAGGGGGAATCACACCAATGACAACCTCTTTCTTCTCATCAGAAGTATCGCACTTCATACGTCCACATTTTAGTTAAAAGGACAGTTTGTTGGGAATCCACAAATGGAAGCAATGGAAGTTGATTTTTGAAAAATAGCACATAATTTCTTCCCCTTTCCTCTCAAGTTGTTGAGATTAAGGAGTCTATGGGTTGGATGCAACCAGGTTTTCCCCTGGTAAAAAAAGGAGGAGTGGCCTTTGACCACCAAAAGGCTATACTGGGAATCATGATACCTGCATGAACAAAAGCCATGTCGGATGGGGTGGTGTTAAGAAGAATTGGGTAAGACTGAACAAAAATGCTGGATGGATGCAAACCTACATTATTTAACACAACAGTTTGCTTGTCCTGAACACACACATTTACAGGTCTAAGTCAACATTTATAATGCACCAGTCATTTACAAATACTGAACCTTCTTTCATATCTCTTTCCTAATTTACACTGGCTGGATAAGTAATTAATCAGAATACAATTAACAGACCTGTATGTTGTACACTCTGACTTGTTTGTAGTTGAGATGTTCCACTGTTAGCAGGTGTTCCTGGTGCTGTAGAAGGCACTGGACTTTGCATGAAGTTCTGGTTTGTCTGTCCTGCAGGAAAGCCAGGTGGGAGACGCTTGGGCATTCTTGGACAGAAAATGAACTTGTCCATTAAATACAGTTTTGGGATCTAAACTCAGACGAAAGCTAAGAGAAGGGCAATGCAATCTGAAGGCAAGCCATGGAAGGAAAGACTGAGTAGATATAGCTTAGCTTTACACTCTGCAGATTAATAGGGAGCACCTCCTCCTTTTCTACTCTTTCACTTATCTTCTTTTACATTCCTTCCATCTCCTTTTTCACCCTTCTTTCTCTCTTGAGTCTTTTTGTCTTAGCCCCTAATTCTATGCTGCATCCCCAACTAGCATTCTAGGTGGGCTAAAAACATTGGGGGACTGAAAAGATGCAATGGTGGAATTGATGGGAGAAGTCAAATTCCAGCTACTTCCCACAAAGTTTGGGCACTAGCAGCTGCTTAAAGGGTAATAACAGCTTGACTCAATTTGCTTGAAAATGTTTCACCAACGTTCACCACTAGCAAAAAAAGGGAGGGACCCGTAAACAATGTTCCCTCTAAGCTGTAGAGCCTTGTGAGCAAAAATTCTACTTTGTGAGCTGCTGGCATTAAAGTTGTGAGCAAGCAACTGGGCTACTGCATAAATTAGTTTGCTCTGGAGCCCTCCTTCCTGAGCCAAGACAAAATTGTGTGAGCTGGAGGCTAAAAACCTGTGAGCTAGCTCACACTAACTCAGCTTAGAGGGAACACTGCCCGTAACTACAAGAAGTAAACAGAAGAACAGCTGGAAGAGATGGCAATGAGAAGGGGGAAGGAAAGAGGATACAGACTTCCCTAGTTTCAGCAAGGGAAACCCACTTCTTCCTTCTAGTAGTACCTGCCACACCCAGAATACTTTGTAGCCGGCCTTGACAAATTTTCTTTAGCAATAGTAGCCAGACTCATTTTTCAGTCTTCAGAGTTTCGGGTTTTAATGACCAGATTTTCTAATTACTGCTACCACAAAGCTCTTCGTTTCTCATTATTAAAGCTATTACAAAAGTGTTCTAGTACATCAACAAATATGGTCGTCTTCACCATGATGAGATGGTAGCCCTAGCTTAACTTCTTCCCAGTTTTTCATAACCCCATTACTGCTTTAAAAATCTCTAATTGACACTGGAGCCAGTACAGAAAGCAGCTGGTTACAGAATGAATTCATCCTTCCTTTGTTGCTGAGAGAGGGTACAATAAAATGACTCCTTAAAATACTAAACATCACAATGAAATTTCTAGGTGTTGACCTGGGATAGGTCAAGCCGCACCTTCTCTCTCTCACACGCACCAAATAAAATCCCAGTATTGGCGTCAACTGGATTCCCTTATCAGAACCCCTAATTCTTGCATTACAACTTTATTTCAGTTGGATAACTCTAATTAAGCTGAGACAAATACACAAGTTTTCTTGGCCCCCTACAAAACTGAAACTTAATTTTAAAAACAAACATGGGTGGAGGACTGGGTTTATCCTGCCCCCCCCCCAATGGCTGCCATATGGTGATGGCGTCCTTTGCTCTCTCACTATTCTGAAGGTGTCGGGTGATAAGACTCTCTTCCAGCTCTTCGATTATATAGGAACAGCATACCATATAAGCTGTACATCTCGTCCAAAAAACTTCCACATATAGATTATTCCACAGTGTAATACTTCATGAAATCAGCAGTGAATTCACATTATGTAATTAGCTTAGCGGATGTGGAATACCTCATTGGTTTGTTAAACAGACTAGGCAAATACATATTTTAGTTAAAGAATGACTTACCTCCTAACCCAGGATGTAAACCCTGTGGACCCTGGTTTTGCTGTTGCATGACCATGAAGTTAGGAGGCACAGTTCCCTGCTGCACCATAGGATTACGGCCAGGAGAATTTACAGGCTGCTGAAACCCTTGAGGGAGGGCATTGTTCTGGGGAGGCCTTGGTCCCATTTGCTGCTGTGCTTGGTTAACTGTTGGGGAGGATGCAGGAGATCCCTGCTGAAAGGAGGAAGGAGAAGAGGCAGGAGACTTGTTGGTCAGGTGGGGTTGCTGTAGTGGTGTAGGGACCCGTGAGGGTCCTCCCTGAAGGTTCTTCATCTGAGGAGCAGTAAATTGGCCAGAGCTGCTCATCTGAGGAAAGTTTGTATGTGCCTGAGAAGCTTGTTGGCTTCCAAAAGGATATGGAGGTGGGGGGTGGGAGGGTGTTTGTACTGTTGCTAAAGACGGTCTTGCTTGGAGTTGCTGCTGCATTTGTCCAGGCAAGGGGGTCTTTTTCCACCCCTGGTTAACTGTAAGTGTGCCCATTGTTCCTTGGGATGGAGTGGATTGAACTGTTCCAGAAGGTACCTGGTTCCAAGCAGGAGGAACTGGAACCTGACCTGGGGTTGTAAATGAAGGGCGAATACCCTGTTGTGGTTGCTGGTGCTGCTGCGGGGGGCGTGGCTGCAGTTGCTGCTGTGGCGGCATCTGTTGGAAGGTGGCTGGGCCTATTTGCCGGTTAACGGGAACTGACTGCGCAGAATGGAGCTGAGGCATTACCGATCCGGACGGATGATTCTGCTGCTGGATAGTCAGCCCTGATAACAGTGGGTCGACAGCATCTATTAAAAGAAAATGCAGAAATAATTATAACTGCAGGTGATCTAAGTTCAGCAGACAATAGGGGGAAATCCTTACCCCCTTTGATGGGAAACAGCATATTCATTTATAACAGTCTTCAAGAGATCTTCACCACACTTCACATTAGGAAAGAGATTAACAACTCCAGAGCTACAAACATTACATTACTGCCAATGACTGCTGTTAGGTATAGTGACTATACATTTGAACTTTGCACAGAAGTGTCATAGATTGCATCTCTTCCATTTCAGGTATTTGGGCCCCACTATTTACACTGCCTTTTTCTATATAGCTGAGTGCTGAAGATAACACTTTATTCATCTGATGAATGTTCCTCTAATCCACGGGTGTTTATTCCACAGTAAAGTAATTAAAGTGCCAATCTATTTATTTATTTATGATTTCGATTTGTATCCCGCCTAGCCACAGGACTGGCTCAAGGCGGCTAACAACATTTATCAATGTGGAAACTGCCAGAAAATCAGAATATTCCCCAAACTGGAGGCTGTTTCTATTCCAAAAGGCAGTAGCGATCAATACTTTATATTGTATTCCCAGATCAGCATGTACAAGCAAAGGGAGAGAAAAAAAACCACACAGATATACAACTCCACACATATTTATGCAAGCTGAAGACAACTGCAGTGATAGCCTCATTTATGTTTTGCTACCTGACTGAGAGGCCGGCCGAGGTGTCCTGGGCTGCAGCTCAGTGTTAGCTGTGCTTGTCATCATAGGTGAAGTGACATTTCCACTGTGCTGCATCATGACAGTTGCTGGATTATTTAATCTTATTAACCCTAGAAATGTAATAACATTTTTCACTAAGGATGCAGTCGGTCATACTTCAGTATCAAAGCATGGCATTGAAATTTAGACATTCTAAGCTGTGCACTGGATCCCAGGCAAAAATGTACGTGGGCTTGAAGGAGAAAGAATGGCTGAGGGAACATATTAGTTCTTGGGTTTGCTGGATTACACAGCTAGGAACATTTTTACAATATCCAGGTATCTCGAGGAAATCAGTCTCCTGAAAGTTTTTTTCAGAGGGAGTAACCATTCATAGTGGAAAAGTACCAGCCTTTAACCGCATAATCCCTTAACAACCAACTTCTATAACAACCCCCCCATCAAAAAATCCTTGCAGTAGAGCCCTGACCTGGATAGCTCAGGCAAGCCCAATCTTGTCAGATCTTGGAAGCTAAGCAGGGGCGACTCTGGCAATTACTTGGATGGGAGACCTCCTTGGAATACCAGAGGCAGGAGCAGGCTTTATTCAGCCTCCTCTCTGGATATCCTCCAGGCCCCCAGTAGGGGTCAGTCACCAGAGATTGCCATGACTTCCAGGTGCACACACACTCACACATGCACATATGAAAAATTAAAAAATGCCCCCAAAACCCTTGTAGTAGAGAACGGAAGTAGAAATAACAGATCCAATATTACTTTTCCAATGCAACAGTACAAAATACAAGGCTCTTGGGACTCCCTATCTAGAATACCCTGTATACTAAGGCATTACATGGTGTCACCCGGCCCTCTTTCTCTCCTTTTATTCTTGTTGCAGGCAAAAGGAATTACTTTATCATATATTTAAAAAGTTATATCCCACAGGCTCCTGAGGCTCCTTCCAAATATAACCATTAAAAACGATCCAACAACAATAAAACCCATAAAAACGAACAGCGGTGTTCTCACTCATCTGTCAAAAGACAGATATATCACAAGGAAAGTCAATGGAAAGGCAGACTTTGGAGTTTTCAGAAAAATCAGTAACATATTTCCCCAAGTATCATGGCTAAATTTTTTAAATGGTACTTGCCTTGGTTACTTTGCATGGGAAATCCTGTCTCCATTCGTACGGAATTGCCTGGCCCAACAGGCCCATTAATCCTCACCTCTTGTCCTCTGTTTTGAGCTAATGCTAAATTGATAGCCCCTTCACCTGAGAGCAAGTGTCAAAATGAGAAGCAAAACAAATGGTTTAGTGTAACTGGCATATTTTAAAAAATACATTTTTGCTGATATTAATTGAACTATTAGGGCAGGATGAAGCTTGTATACAGCTCGGTCCCCAGTAAAATACCATCTGAAAGCATGAAATTATTTTTAAATGAACTTTATGCAATCTGTCAGATTGTTATGGGTGCAAAGCCTCATATGCAGTCAGCACTTCCCTACCAGCAAATGCTTCCCCATTCATTTTAAGGAAGCATTCTGTGGGTGCATCTGCTCCTTCTGCAGACATCAAGTGTACATGAATCTCTGAAATAAGGCACTGCTTTCCCCCCCAAAATAACTCTTCATCTCATGAAGCAGTAGAAATAACTAGCAGGTAAAACTTAAGTAGTAGTTTTGACATGCCTGCCCTGGGACTCTGGCAGCCTCTGACACAGAGATAAATAAGAACAGAGAAAATTTACAGGCCTGGGCTCAACACTGCACTTGACATCAGCAGCAGCAGCATTTCTGTGGCGTATTTCCCATTCTCATCTTTAGTCACACGGTTTAGAACCATTCATTGGCTTGGATCCCAGAGAGGGATTTTTTTTTTTTAAGGCAGAGTATAATTTTCATTCATTTCCCCTCCCACTGCAGCCATCAAACTCCTTGAAGTTATTCCCAAGAGTCCTCTAAGGAACACTACTGGGGGAGGGGGGGGGGTTTCATGCTGCAGCAGGAGAGGGGGGACAAAAAAAAGTCAAGTTCTACAGATGGAATCTGTTCTGTCAATGGAAATCCTCCATGGGATTCAAGCCACTGTGTGAATACTGGCCATCATGGCGCATATCTCCCTACCTTCTTTCGGCAACTACTAACAATGTGGAGTAGGGACGCAGGATGCTCACTGGTTAAGTTCAGATGCAGGGCCAAAGCAATGGTCTGGCACTATGTGAATGTCCTCTTATGCGCTTTCCCCCTTCCTCATAAGAGTCTATGAAGGCCAATATTGTCTAGCCTAAGAGGAAGCAGCTATCCAAGATCTCAGACAGAAGTCTTTCATATGGAATACTAAGGACTGAGCCTGGGAACTTCTGTATGCAAAGCAAACGCTATACCAATGAACACGGCCCATCTCCTAAATAAACATAGCTTTATTGGTCTGTGGGAAATTTTAGGCACTCCCTCCTCCAATACTGCATTGTTCAATGGATGTATTACACTAGTCCACCATCTCATAACACACCATTAGCTCAATTAGAAAGGTGGTGGATAAATAAAATTAAGTGATGCTTCAAGAGGGAATTAGATAAACATATGGAGCAGAGGTCCATCAGTGGCTATTAGCCACAAGGTATAGATAGGAACTCTCAGGCTGGGGCAAGTGATGCACTGTATTCTTCATGCTTGGGGGGGGGCAACAGTGGGGGGGCTTCTAGTGTCCTGGCCCCACTGGTGGACCTCCTGATGGCACCTGGTATTTTTGGCCACTGTGTGACAGAGTGCTGGACTGGATAGGCCATTGGCCTGATCCAACACTGGCTTCTCTTATGTTCTTATGATGCCTATGACTGACATGAAAAGCATTAATAAGCAATACAGCATGGGGCAGGGACAGAAGAGGGAAAATCATCACAAACCCCTGTGGCAAGAGCAGTATACCCAACTAGCAAGTCACAAAATTAGAATGCTCACAAATTGTACCATTATTTAATGTTATTATTACTTTCATCAAATTACTGCAAAAACCTACACTTTTTTGCTAATAATTCCAAATGTATTTCTTAATTATGCTACAAAGTAACTTCAACTACCTTCAATCTGAACCGAGAGAATCCCCAGATCTCTAAGCTGTTGATTGTTATTTTGAGCCAGCATTCGTAGTCGTTCAGCTGCTTCACGAGGAATATTGAATGTGACACGTACGCTGTTCCAGGGTTCTACCTTCCTCAATTTTAACTTGTTAGAATCTTAGTTTTAAGAGGAGAAAAAAGAAAAAAGAGAAAAATCAACAAATAAAATAGCAAAACTACTCACTTTGGTAAAGTCAGGATTAGCAAGGTTCTCATACTTATATTCAGTGCTTCCTACCAATAACAGGGTTCTTCCTTGTAAATTAACTCAACAAGAACTCAGTATATCACAATGAAGGCAGTAACTTTGGGCTAGCTCACATAAAGACCAGCTCTGGGACAGCTGACAAATCGATTTCAATTAGAAAAGTTGCCTATTTGAATGAAGCCTTTAGATCTCAGCATGGTGAACTTGTGCTATCTCGAAGACACATTTTGGAGCATTCAAGATCACAGAAACCACCACAGCTGGGATTCATGAGCTAGCTCACCTGGAAAAATGATAACCATTAATGAAGGAATCAGTCTGAACCAGATCTAAAATAAGCCTTTCCTGATTGAATGTAAGCCAAGTATCAAGCTGCCTTGAACCAAGAGGAAAGATGGGGCATACATGTTTTGATAAATAAATATCAAATACACCTACAAAATTACAAACTTGATACATTACATCTTCTACTTATTTCCAAGTACTTAGTGATCACTCATAGCAAAATGGAAATGGATCAATATAGCCTTATAACCTGGACTATTCAAACTTTTAGCAAAAGTAAAGTTTCTGAAAAGAGAGAGTGTTAACAGGGACTATAACATTAGCTTTGACCACTGCAGAACTGGAGCTGAGTGAATAATTTAATTATTATAAAGATAAAGATACTAACCTGACATAGAATATTTCAGTATATAAGCACAGAATACTTCAGTAGGGAAACCCAAATAATTTTCTTCACTTGGGAGAGGGCATTTATTTATCTCACTCGGACAGCTAAAGCACAACCTGATCGCTTTATCTATCCAATGCACAAAATTCTCAGAGTTTGCCATAATGAGTTTTTTTCCCGAGGCAAGAAACAAATGTCTTGAGCCTCCCCGAGGTAACTGCCAGGATTTATTCTCATCTGCTCACTGGTAAAATGGAGCATGGCATAATTTAATAAATAGCGAAAAGAACTGGAGATCTCAGGGGGGGAACACAGCAATAAAGTAAAGAGTAGTTCAGTGGCCTGCTCACAGCACCACACATGAGAATTTAATAAATAGATGAATAATAAAATGTTGAAAGAACAGTAATATAATCAGGAAATACGTATAAGTTGCATCCTATACAGAACTTTCCCACTTCTCCCTGAAACCTACTGAGTTCCCCAAAATTGTTTTCCTGAGAGTCAATGGACACTCAAGGACCTGTGTGGGGGCCCTGAAATGGGAAGGTGGAATCAGTGGAAATGTCATGCATGCAGAATAAGGCATAGAATCTGATCACCTATACCTGCTGCTTATGATGCAAAAGTGTTACCTAAAACCATATGGACAATTCTAGAGTAACTTAATTTTTAAACACTGTTACATTTTCACATTTTCTAGCTAAAAGATACAAAACAATAAAGTACCCATGTGTAAAATGCTGGGCACATCATGCAATATGATGCCCAATTTTTGTTTGAAGTCATCATCATCTATATTCCCTTTAAAAGCTACGAAGATGGTGGAATCTTCAGAAAGGCTGTCATGATTCATGTCATCTTCCTCCAGTCCAGAGTCAATATCCACTTCCAATTCTTCCATGGTTGAAGAGCACAATGAAGAGTGGTTATCTTTTAAGCTAGGTATGTCACCCCAAACCATGGTTATGTGATTTGCTGCAGTGGAAGCTACTCAGGTATTAAGAACCTATTTTTAAAAAGTAAAAAAATACATTGTTTAAATACAATGTTCAAAAAAAGTTCAAAAATACATTATTTAATACAAAGTTCAAAAACACATTATTTAATACAAAGTTCAAAAATATATTGTTTAAGACAAAGAGGCATCTAGGCAAGCACAGACAATTGTTTCTACTGCTTATATTTTATTGCTAATAGGTTTAGAAAGGAGTACTTCTATTCATGTACCTCTTATGTACATACCTGCTTCGGCATACTTTTGATCATATTTAGCCGCATATTTACTATCAAAGGCTATATTTACTATATTTACTATCAAAGGCTAAATTTAAACAGGGACAAAATACAAAGTTCCTATTGAAGGTACAGAACAAAGTTTGAGTCCAGTGGCACCTTTAAGACTAGCAAAAAGCTTCAAACTTGAATAAAAGTCTGTTCTTCTTAAAGGCACCACTGGATTCAAACTCTGTTCTGCTGCTTCCGACCAACACAGCTACCCAACCTGATTCTATTGAAGGTTATAGAGATTTTGCTCAGTCCTGTGTTTTGCAGCCAAGTTACAACATAGCACAGGATCAGGCATTGAGAAAGGGAAATATTAATGCAAGATACCCCTTTCCCTGTGGTCCTGGGAGCCAAAGGTGAACCTACTGTTGCTGGGGTATAGCTCCCAATTGCTCCCTGGTATAAGAGCCAAAGAGTCCTTAAGCATAGTTCAATGCCAGTGCAGAACCAATACACATATAACTAAAGCATTCTCAGAAGCAAATAGGTCAGGGCTGGAAGCATGGCTTCCTTTGCATGGAACTGGTTACACTGTATGCATTATGGTACAAACCTCTACCTGTACCACAGCAGCCAGTGAGGGTAGCACATTTTATACCAGGCATGTCCAACTTCGAACAGGTAGTGATCTATTTTTTCCGGTCAAAAGTGCCGGTGATCTACCAACATGAAAATAAAGTTTCAAATTAGTTTCAAATTAGATTTTAACCCACTAAAGTTGGGTTCTACCGCCCCCCCCCCCCAATTTATAAGGCACCTTCTGTCATTTACTGGTAAGCAAAATAAGCAAAAACAAAACAGAGAGACGACAATCCAGAAAGAACTGAGGACATTTTTTATTGAGTTATAATTTTCTTTAACTGTGGGGCTGGTGATCTACCTCTGACCCCTCCGCGATCTACTGGTAGATGACGATCTACCTGTTGGACATACCCGTTTTATACAATTACTAAACCCAGTATTACATGCATGGATCTGGAAGGAAGCATATATGATGTGCAAATGGTTTTGCAGATTATTTGGAGGGGATAAAAATTAGAATATAGCACAGCTAGGGACATTTAAACCCATATTTGCATTGTGTCATGATCAAAAACTTCAAGGCTACAATCTTAAATACAATTAATTAAATCAGTCGAACTTAAGCTAAGAATTCAGCTATGCTTTTCATTTCCACGTGGCCTGTTTTGTCTAGCTGTGGGACCAGGATGGTGCAGCCCCCACCCCCAAGGGCTGAGGACACCTAAGATAGGCTCATCAGCAAGGGGGTTGAAGGTACAAAGCGGGTGGCAGTCAGAGTGACCGGTGGGCTGAGTTTGGCCAGACGTCCTGATGGTTGGGTGAGGGTTGCTGGGGGCACATGGCAGCAGTGGATGGGATAGGATACCCTCAGCACTGAGGCAGGGTTACGGTGACCCTAGGCAACCCTAGACTGAGCTGGACGGCCCTAGACTGAGGGGGAGGAAGAGAGACACCTATAGGTGCAATGGCAGCAGGGAGTGTGTTAACTATCCCGGCAGCAGAGTGCAGGAACTCAGTTGGGAGTGGATATCCTCTTCGCAGAGTGTATTGGGCTGGATGGGCATTAAAACTGTGAGTCTCTTCTCTCAGGGGGATGGAACCCTGATGGAACCTGATCAATACCCAGCCTGTTACGGGCATCATCCCTGCCAGTCCCACACCTCACCGCCCTTCCTAAGGTTCTTACCTACCTACTTCTGTGTAAAACTGTTTCTCCTCCACCTTTGAACTGTTAGTATTTGAATATATAAGCACACAAACATACCCTTCTACTTTACACATTGCCCAAACAGGTCAATCATGCCACAAATCTGGAATTAAAAATCACAACATTCAGAGACTAGTGGGTGAACATTTTAAACTTCCAGGACATTCTATTACTTACCATTCTCTTACAAAAGAACGTTGAAGGAAAAAAATCCAATGCAAAACTGCTGGACTAGAATTCATCAAGAAGTTTAACACTATCCTTTCCTGATCCCAAGTGTCTTAACAAGGTCTTTTGGATTTCTCACTCTTGATGGGCACGAATATATATATTGTCTTTTACAAATAGGACTTAGTGCAGCTATATTTCTGTAACTTTCTGATTAGATCTGCTTTTTCTGTTTTGTGCTAATCCTTCTTTGCCTATCAACAGTTGGGAGTGAGCCTCACCTATTCTGAGTACACCAATCCCTCTTTTCATTGGATCTTGCTTTAAACTGGCCTTTTAAAAATAACATCCTCCCACAACTTTCTGTTGTTTGCAGTCTTTTAATATAAATTAATCAGTCTTATGGATGTACACTTCAGGCATCTGACTTATAAAAATTTATGCTGGAACACACTTTTTCAAATCTATGGACTCTTGTTTTGTTTACTTGATTCTTTTAAATGATGATGTGGGGAACTGAACCTTGGACCATCCACATGCAGAACAGTTATTTTACCACTGAGACAGAGCCCATTCCCAGGCAAGTTTATTACTTTAAGAAGCAAGGGAAATGATGCACTTGGCAGGGTTGTCAGGACACCATCTAGTAGGTGCTCCCAATACAGTACCACTGCTGTAACTGCACTTGCTGAGGGGCAAACAGCAGTGTCAGCTGCAGTTTAATTACTGGAAAGTAAGAATTCATAGCAGACAAGAATGTTCATCTCCTCCAGCCAAAGCTAAGAGAAAGTGACCATTAGGAGAAGCCCTTATTTTAGTAAATAGGATTTCAAAAAGTTTTGCAGCCACAGAGTATTGCACCAGATGTTTTCAAAAGTTTCATCACTCTTCCTGTCTTTTTTTTTTTTAAAGCAAAGTCATTCCCCATTTTTCTTTTGGAAGAGAAAGAATGACATCCTTGCGGGGTGTGGATACTGGGGTATGCACTGAAAATAAAAGGCAAGCAACAGTCAAAACAGAGATAATGAGAGTACCCTCTTAGGGCCAAACTAAACATTACTGTTCTTTAAAGAGCTGAGTCTGGGTTCCCCAGACCCAACTGGTGTCCCCCACGACCGCACAGCAGCTGCAGGGGGGAAAGGGCTCATAATCTTATGGAAGAGGAAGGGCTCCTGCCCACCCCCCAGAAGAACACCATGCTTAAGGAGAGGAGTTATTGCTGTTTTTGCATAGGAAAGCAGGTTGGAGGGGGAGACAGGAAGCCTTCCTCCCCTTGCAGCACTGTTCTGAGCCCATTTGGGCTCTCTTTTTCTTAGAAGCCATTCCCCGCAAGTGCTATGTGGCTGTAAGGAACACAAGCTGGGTTTGAGGAACCCCAACCCAACTGTATAAAAATAGTAATGTTTAGTTTGGTCCTTAAATTAACAAACTTACTGTGACGTGGCACCTTAAAGTATATATGTACTGTATAAATAAAGTATAAATGTTTTGTAATCTATCCTTTCATGGACTTGAGCCTATTTCACTAGATGCAGTGAAGTAAATCCTAAATCTGCAAGATTTTTTAACAAAAAAGGAAAGAAAACATTGTGAACACTAGGTTAAAAGGCTTTGTTTGTAACATTTCTATGTAAAACTGAGAAGTATATGGTTAAGCACAATAATTATTCACTCAATAAAAAAGACAGCCTACCAGGAGATCCTGTATCAGAAGTTGCATGACCAGTTAAGCTGACCGTGAAAATTCGATCCATAATAGTATTCAGGTTCAAGGTCTGCAAAAGCAGACTGCGGGAGTCTGATCCTCTGAACTCTTTCGTGACAAATCAGAAGCCCCCAAATGAATCTGTAAATATACCCAGTGAAAATTAATCACCTTCTCAATTCTATCAAAGCAACTCCAAACATAAGTGAAGCCAAAACCTTTACTAGACCTTGATAGCTTTATAACAGCACAATGTTCAACATATTTTCTTAAATATATTTCAAAAGTTATTCTTCAGTCAAGACAACACAACACATACAGTTTATGCACAGCTGAAATTCAGGAATTTAAGATACAACACCAAACTAATCCTTAGGCTATGTATAACAGGATCCCCAAGGAGGGAATGTAAAATTGCAAAAGAGAAGCAATCCTAAACCAGTCTAATCAAAACTGCCATTTTATTCAATGGGGCTTACTCCCAGAAAAGTGTTCTTAGGATTGTACATAAGAACATAAGAGAAGCCACTGTTGGAACAGGGCAATGGCCCATTCAGTCCAACACTGTCACACAGTGGCCAAAAATACCAGGTGCCATCAGGAGGTCCAGTAGTGGGGCCAGGACACTAGAAGCCCTCCCACTGTTGCCACCCCCCCCCAAACAACAAGAATACAGTGCATCACTTGCCCCAGACTGAGAGTTCCTATCTATACCTTGTGGCAAATAGCCACTGATGGGCCTCTGCTCCATATGTTTATCTAATTCCCTCTTGAAGCCGTCCATGCTTGTAGCCGCTGCCACCACCTCCTGAGGGGCGAACAGCAGTTTCACAGAGGTTAGAGATTCAGAGCTGAGAACTAGATATGTTTAACATTCTCTGGCAGAAGATTTTAATTTATTCATTTATTGAAGATCTTTATTAGCCACCTTTCTTCCTTATGGAGCTCAAGGCGGCTTACAACATAGATTAAACACATAAAATAAAATACATTAAAAACATAAAATCCAAAAATTAAAATCACAACTCAGGTCTGCTAATAAATTTAACCAAATGCAGTTCTAAACACTGAATTCAGAGGGATAACATTATCATGAGTGAGGATAAGCACACATACTTTGTTCTACTGATGTTCCCTTATGCATAGTTTTAGGACAGAAGCAGAATCTCAGTTCCAATTTCACTTCTGGCGTTATTTACAGTTTAGTGTGCTGACTGCATAATGCGGATGGTTAGTGTCAGGTTTTTGAAGTGGAGAATTTAGAATCATGAACAGAATTACACTGTCCTAATCTTAATGACTTGAATGCACTTAGAAGGGTGCAACTCTGCTGAGGAATAGACTGAAAATATGGCAAAAGGACAAAAGAGCGCTTTCACACACACACAAACACTCACTAAATAATACATTTCCAATCCACTTACAATGCACTTTTCAACTGGATTTTACTGTGTAAAATGGCAAAATCCACTTGCAAACAGTCAGTGAATTAGATTGAAACCACATTATTTAGCATGTCTGAAAGAGCTAAAACATGGCAAAATGACAATCCTTAACTATGACAAGCAGAAATGACAGATACTAAGTCCCAAAACAAGACCAGAAGGCCAAGCTTTGTCTTTGTATTCTATAGTTTAAGAGAACTGACAGACCTTTCTAAACTGTGTATTCTAATTCTTTATTTTTATTCATCTACAAATTTGACAGAAAAGGACAAATATAAATGAAACCAATCTTCCTAAGATTTAAGCTACAATTGGCAATGATAGCATAATTGTATAGCATTTTTCCTGAGCATTTCTATTTTGTAAATATGAAACATTATGACCAATTTCTTACAGGCCACTGCTCTGCCCTCGTGTTTCCCTTTGCCCCGATCACATTAGTCAATTTCCCATTACTTGCTCCACATTTTGCCCCGCAGCTTCGCCCAATTTCCCCTGCGTCTACTTGATCCTGTTTTTTGAGGATCAAGTAGACCCCGGGGGGGGGGGGGGGGGGGGGAGGCAGCGGGGAAAAATGTGGCCGCGCAGCAAGTAATGGGAAATTGACTAATGTTATCAAGCAAATGCGAGGGCAGAGCAGCGGCCTGTGAAAAATCAGTCTATATCTATTTAATAAAACAAGTATTGTATATTGCAATTGCTCATTACTGACAGATGGCTCCAAACTGATATCCTCAAAACTGTCTTGAATGTCCACCAGTTCTCTTGCAGCTGCAAATCACTGCTCATGTGACTTATGTGTACAGTATAAATTATGGAGTTCCACTTAACTCAGGTGGAACACTGCAAAAAAGAATTGTATGTTTAAAATCCCCAAAGCCTCAAAACTACAGTTAAGAAACTTTAGAGAGATTGAGGAATTATGTATATATTATACAACTTGCATCTAGGAACCAAGTTTCAGTGGAATTATCCTAAAAGAAATCAATCCTGACTGTTCCCTGGAAGGCCAGGTACTAAAGCTGAAGATCAAATACTTTTGGCCACCAAATGACAAAGGAGCACTCACTGGAGAAGACCCTGATGCTGGGAAAGACTGAAGGTAAAAAAGAAGGGGATGGCAAAGGATGAGATGGTTAGATAGTGTTATCGATGCAACGAACATGAAATTAAGCAAACTCCGGAGGATGGCGGAAGACAGGAGGGCCTGGCGTGATGTGGTCCATGGGGTCGTAAAGAGTCAGACTTGAATGTGCAACTGAACAACAAAAGTTTAGTTCCTTAAGAACAAAGGACAACATGGGCAGGATCTTCACTGTATGACTGAACATACACTGCAGCAGCCATTTTGTGACTGGCTCCACTTTCTGTAGCCGCCATTTTGTGGCTGTGCTCATCATTCTGTGTCAGAATGTCAAAGGCGCCCACAGGCTCAAAAGCATGGAGGACCCCTGTCCCAAGTGTTCATGTGTTTCACAACATTTTTAAGCATGAAAATTCTATAGAAGGAACATAAACATACATGGTTCTCTGATGTGCACTGCCCTGAGCCCTATTTCATAGGGGAGGGCGGTTTAAAAATTAAAAACAAATATAATAATAAAAAGAACAATAATAATAAAGTGTTGATTATTTAGTCCCCCTCTATCATTATCTTCCACCAATGGATGAAGCCTTTCCTGTTTGGAGTTCCCTCACTGAACTTCCTTCCCATTTATATATTTTGTTTAGTTGTTTTAATATGTTTTTTTAAGTTTGTCTGATATTTTTGATTATTTGCTGCCTTGAGGACCCTAGAATGTATGTGTATAAAGTGCTGTCAAGAGACATTCAGAGGTGGTTTGCCATTGCTTGCTTCTGTGTCACAACCTTGGCATTCTTTGTATGTCTTTGTATGTATGTATACTAGCCAGGGCCGACCCTGCTTAGTTTCCAAGATCTGAGGGCAGACCCTATAAAGGCATCATAAAAATGTTTTTAATGAATAATAATAAATTCTACTAGTCATAATAGAACTGCGTCCTAGAAGTCTGGGTGTATAAGAGACTGATTCTTTCCATGTAAATTCAAGTAGTTATTTTGAGTACATGCTCCATGTAAGTTATGTGTTAGTTTCTTTCTGTTTGTAGTTATTGTCTTCCTTCTTTTATTCTGAAAACTAGTAAAATCTTTTTTAAAAAAGAATTGCATCCTAGAAGTCTATAGCTCTACACATTTCACAGAATTAATAAAAACAGTTCAAGAGGTATTGTTAACAAGGGTTGTAGTTCCTGTCAGTGAAATATTAGGCAGTTTTCACCGCATTACTTGTTGTATATATTATACTCTTTTTGTAGCCTTGCTTTATTTATGCACTGTACTTTTTCTACAACATTCTCTAATTTTGTAATCTGGTTTTTATTTCATTGTTTATATATAGGTTGTTTTAATTACAATGTTTGCTGTATATTGTTCCTATTCCATTGTTTTAATTGTGTGATCTGTCTCGAATCCCAGTGAGAAAGACATCTGACAAATTAAACAAAAAACAAACAAAAGTGAACCTGGGGGGGAATGACAGAATAAAGTGGATGTTTTAAACATTTGTTTTTAGGCATGGTGGTTTTCCTTTCTTGTGACGAAATGTTGTGCGCTACTTTAAGGTGCTATTTATTCTAGAAAGATGGGATAGATGCTTACTAAAAGAAACAGTTGTAGCTGCTACACAATAATCTTACTAATAATAGAAAACAGGCATGCATTAATTCATTTGAGAGATATGGAGCAGAAGGCTAAAATTTTAGTGCAACATTTATCTTTTAAAAATATCATTGGATGTAATAATTTGGTATGTTACTGGTTGATGAACTGCAGTCTGAAATAATTGTTTATGACAGATGTAGGAAATTTACAGCCAAGACATTATCTTGGTTGTAAGATACCCTATTACTCACTGTAGTTTTTAAAATTAACTGTTTATACCTTTTTTGAAAGAATGTGTAACCGCCTCTCCCCCACCCCCAACTGTGATTTACCTCTCCATTCGCATGCAGAGTTCTCACCTCTGCAGCTGATATGGGAAACAGAGCCAGTTTGGTGTAGTGGTTAAGTGTGCAGACTCTAATCTGGGAGAACTGGGTTTGATTCCCCACTCCCCCACTTGCACCTGGCTGGATGACCTTGGGCAAGCCTTAGTTCTGATAACAGCTGTTCTTGAAAAAGAACAATTTCTGTCAAGAGCTCTCTCAGCCCCACCTACCTCATAGGGTGTCTGTTGTGGGGAGGGAAAGGGAAAGGAGTTTGTAAGCCACACTGAGACACCTTTGGGTAGTGAAGGGCGAGGTATAAATCCAATCTCCTCTTCTTCTACTCCATGTTCTATTAAAACAGCTGTATTCCCATAACAGATGAGAGTGCTGACCGTAATTTTTACTCTCTACTGATGTCTGGATCCTGACCTGGATATCCCAGGTTAGCCTGATCTTGTCAGATCTCAGAAGCTAAGTAGGGTTGGCCCTGGCTAGTATTTCTAGGGGCGCAAGTAGACCTCCAAGGAATACTAGGGGTGCAACACAGAGGCAGGCAATGGC